ATTTTCAGAGAAATGTTTAGATTAAAAGATATCACGATTTTCCGACGCCAGGACGTGATATCTTTCAAAATCGATAAAAAGCGAAATTACTCTGAAATGGTTGAGAATCGGACCATGGACAATATGAACTTTTTTGTTCATTTTAGGGTGAAGAATCTACTGGAGAAGTTTGTAGCACGAGTAGCAATTCACCCTGTATATATATTTAGTGTTAACTGTGTCCATAACCGTTCCTAAGCTAATTTCACCTGACCAGCCCCTAACTTTAACCTAACCCTATCTGACCTTAACCTAAATCTTACCCTATCTTATGAATTAACTGGCACCTTATAACATCACAAAGCCTTTAGCTTCTAATATGTGACAAATATTTGTAGGGAAAAGCAAGCAGATCATAAGCTCATTGAGAGTAATTGAGCCAGGGGAAGACAAAAAAAAACAAACTGCCAAACTCAAATAGGAGCTCTAACAAAATATTCAATAATCCTTAGTATCTAAAGTTGTAAAATTTATCTTCTATACTCTCCTATAAGAAAAAACAAAAAACACTGAATCATGGATATACAGTGCTCTCCCAGTAATCTGAACTAATTGCAGCATGGGAGTATTACAGAGGGTGTTAGAAAAATACATACATATGTCCAAAAAAAATTAACACGACACATTATTATTCCATACACAACACCTATTAGAATACATATATACTATCAATTTCTCTTTAAAAATTTAAATTTTTTATTTATTTAACATTTTCTTTATTGTTTGTCCTCTTTTCCACTCATTTTTAGGCAGCCGATATATTATACTTAACACAAGAAAATTTAGACTGATATAACATTTAGTTTTTTAGTAGGGAATGGAGGTGAGAGATTCACTGAAGAAATTTGTGAAAATTTGTGTAGTTTCACTCCTACCTCTACTCTCTCTCAACCATCTCTTTCTCACCATCACTCACTACTTATAAGTCTTTTTCACCAACTCTTATTCACTCTCTACATCTACATTTCTCTCCCCCTCTTACTCTTCCCCTCCCTTTCTCACTCTCACTCACTACTTCTACCTCTATATCACCCCCTCTTTCTCACCTCTACCTTTCTCTTCTCCCTCTCACTCACTAACTTTTTCTCTCCCCCTCTCTCACTCACTACCTCTATCTTTCTCTCTCCCCCTCTCACTCGATACATTTACATTTCTCTCTTTCCCTCACTACCTCTCTCTTTCTCCCACTCTTACTCATTCACTACTTCTACCTTTCTCTCCCTCCCTCTATATCTCTCACACATTCTCCCTCGTTCACTTTCTCCGCCTCCCCCTCCAAATGTTTAATTTCTTTCCTTTAAAATTCTGAGTTCTTGAATTTTTGTCCAATTCCGATTTGGGAAAGAGCACTGTATTTAACATAACCCCTAACTTACTCACCTCATCCATCCCTAACTTAACTCTAACCTCTAACCTAACAAATAAAAAAAGAACAAATTCTCAGAGCTACAAAGTACCAGCTCTTACTAACAAAATATTCAACAATCCAAAATATCTGAAGTGGCAGAATCGACAACTGGTCATACAAAACACTGCTCTTCGCTATCACCCTTAACCCTTTATCAACACGACCAAGAACTTGGGGAAAAATACTAGGACCTCGTTAATTCCTCTCCACTACATGGTAATGAGAATAAGCACAATAAATAAAACTAGAATGGAAAGATAAAACTCCCCTAATAAGAGATTACAATCCCAATACTTATTCAACTTGAGTTTTAGCTTTTTAGGAGCATAAGTGCTTGTCGAGTGACAAGGGCCTGACAATAAAGCAGAATTTGGTTGTCGACTTAAGGGAAACTCGACGAATAACAGGACAAGACATTCGAAAATAACTTACACAAAGAGCATGGGGACAAAATGACCAAAAAGCGACGAAAAGGAAGAATACTTACACATTCCTCTTCGCTGAAATAACTATAAGCAAAACCTACGAATACGGCTGTAATTCCTGCGATTACTGCAACGCAAAAATTCCACAATTAAAAAGATGGATCAAAATTGAAGTAAATAGTTTTAGGAGTGGATTGACAATTACTGACCACCTCGTTTAATCATTAACGAATACATATTTCGGTTGGAAATGATGCCTGACATGTATTCAAATTATTTTCGTGGAAAATCAAGACTTCTGTGGAATGTTTATAAAAACATTAATTTCTATTATAAGTTAGAACAAAAATAGTTTTTATTTACCATTGTTGAAGTACAGATATAATTAAAACTGCATGTCACAATTTGAACTAACTTAGGAGACTGCGCAAATAGGAAAACAAATGACTAAGTAAGTGTTATTACAGTTGATAATACGTAACCCCCTATAAAATATATACGTAGTCTCCACGTGATGTCACAGGTTTGGTTAACTAGGACCAGACGTCGCTCAAGGCAAAGCTTGAATTAGTTCAATGAATTTGCAGGAACATGGTGCAGTATATTCTTCCTACATTGATTGCCTTAAATAATATTTTAAGGTCTGTCTAATTATTTTTCAAACGATGACCCCTAATAAAAAGTCCACCAAACTGACGGAAGATGTATTATAACATCTCGTGTGCCTCGAGAAAAAACAGGACTAATCAACAATTGTAATAAAATGCAATTAGTTTCCAAATATCAGGTTGAACTAGCATAAGAAAATAAGAGAACAAAATATATCAATATTTTTCAGATTTGGCTTTTTTAACCAGCAAAAAAGCTGAAAACTGAGACTTGTACACCAGACCTTAGTATTATTTTTCATCTCACCTCACATGAGCCCACTATTTTATATTTTTTTAAAGATTTTCGTTTGTTTTCATTCGTGCACCATCATTTTCTTTTCTTTTAGTGCAGCCTCTTCTTTTCTTTTAGTGCAGCCTCTTGGTGATCCTCATTAATCTTTTCCTCCCCTAAAACCGAAAATGACATATTGGCTGTAGAAGGTCTAACATATCCTATGGTTGATTAAATCTGGCAAAATAAACAGAAACAAACTACAAAAAATTAAGCAATGAGCAAAGATTGACAAACCCATGCATCACAATGTCTACAATCCATCAGCTCCTTTGAAACATTGTCAACCCTAACTCCATTGAAAAAAAACAAAAAAAACAGAGAAGTTAGGAAAAGCTCAAACAGACTCCAAAAACAAATCAATTGGATGGGACATTTCAGGCATGCAATAAGAAATAAAATTATACTCCTACTCTTAGAAATTGAGATTGACTATATTATCCCGAAAACATCCTTTGCAACATCCTGTAGGGTTTGAACAGACTACAAAGAAGATCAAGTACAATGGTATAGACAGCTTCAAAAGCAAGGAAGGAACTGGGTCAGGTATACTCTGTCCAAACTCAAAATATGAGAAATCAAACTCATTGGGGATGTACACCTGTCTTTCAAGCTGAAATACGCCATAGAAAATCTTCAAATAGGATACACTGAAAAAAACAACAAAAACGCAGATTTGATGGCCAAGCAGTCCTAAAAGTGTGACAAAATAGTAAATGAATGCACCCAAAATTTCAAGAGACTAGGAAAATATAACAATCTGACAATATGGTGCCAAATCTAGAGCCAAGTAAACTGCCCAAAGTAGGATCTTCAAGATATGCCCAGAACCTAAAACTGAAAAACTCTTATAACTAAGAATGGGCCCACAAAAACAAAGAATTGGACTAACCCCAGAGATGGCAGACATAGTGTACTCATGAAAGAACCTTCATCAAAACTGGCAAAACATTCCTTCAGCTAAATAAGGTAAAACTCAGGGGAGTGATAGTAATAATAGTAATATATTGGCATATGAGAAAACACCTTAATAAGTATTTATTTAGAAATCGTGAGATGCGGTCTGGTGTGATGTAGGTTTCAGAAAAACATTTTCTTTATCGTGCCAATGTTTCAATCTCAATAAAGATCGAAACATTGGCACGATAAAGAAAATGTTTTTCTGAAACCTACATCACATCAGACTGCATCTCACGATTTCTAAATAAATATCGATTAATGGTCACTAATCACCACACACTTAATAAGTATATTGATTAATTTGTAGGATGCAATGAAGAGGAAGAAATTGCCACCCTATTATCTGCAAAGACCTGGGAAAAAGAATTGGAGCAATGGACCTCCTAAGTTATGAAAGAAAGATTGAGTCAATTGAACTGAACTAAAGGTCTAAGGAAAGTACAATAAGCCAAAAGGCTGAAGTGTTTGGGATATGATCACATTATATTCCACTAAAAAAGTATGATCCTCTTTTATTATTTTGTGTGTGTGTGTGTGTGTGTGAACTTTTTACATTTTAATTTATTTTTAAAATTTTTATTATTTTAAATTTATTTAAGGTTTTATGTGAATTTAGCATAACTTTTTTTCTGGTCCTATTCGATCGTGGGGAAAATATATGTATGGAGCCAAGATTTACATTCTCCCTATATTTACACCTTTTAATGGTAGATTTTCTGCTTTTAATAAATAAAACTAAAGGCCTACCAAGCCTTCGTGCATTTTAGTTGGCCAAAGTCTGTTTGAATGTATTCTTTTGAGTTGTAATCACTGATAATCAAATTTGGGTCCGTACAAAAATTTACATGAAAATTCGTGCAGGGTAGTTTTGTACCTCAAAGTTTGTTTTCCTTTTCTAGGAACAAATTAATATGTTAATTAAGCCACAAAACAGATACATTTTTATAACACTTCAAAAATTACAACACATTTGTAATTATTTTTTGTTTCTTAAGCATTTATGAACTATGCTGAAAGGGATATTTTGTTACAGATGAGCTCGTGTTGTTTATTTTTCTCTTTGTGGCTGGTGTGTGTACAGGATCTAGTTGTCTTCTTAATCCTGTTTCAAAGTAGAAAAAAAACATGGTATAAATATTCAACCAAAAGGTGTTTTAATATCAAGTATACAAATACAATACCAGAAAAAAGTAGAAGGCATAATGCATAATTGATAGAAAAGTATTAAAACATAAGGTACTGGTATATTCGTTGTAAAACAACACCAAAATTACATTAACTCTTATCATAGCCCTACCCAAGTCTAATTCTAACCATAACCCTGCCTAAGTTAAGCAGTCCCTAATTCTAACAATAATCCTACCTAACCTAATCTGACCCTAATTGTAACCATAATCCTACCTAACCTAACCTTAATTCTAACCAAAATCCTACCTAACCTAACCTTAATTCTAACCATAACTCTACTTAACCTAATCTCAATTCCAACCATAACCCTACTTAACTTAACCAGTACCTAATTCTATTCTAACCACCATAATCCTACCTAACCTAACCTTAATTCTAACCATTACCCTAGCTAACCTAACCTTAATTTTAACCATAACCCTAGTTAACTTAACCAGTCCCTAATTCTAGCCATAATCCTTCCTAACCTAATCCTGATTCTAATCATAACCCTACCTAACCTAACTATAATTCTAACCATAACCTTACCTAACCTAACCTTAATTCTAACCATAACTCTACCTAACCTAATCTCAATTCTATCTATAACCCTACTTAACTTAACCAGTCACTAATTCTAACCATAACCCTAGTTAACTCAACCAGTCCCTAATTCTAACTATAACCCTACCTAACTTAACCCAGCTCTATCCATTGTTCACTCCCCAATATTGCAAAATCAATTAAGCAAAAATGATCATACAAAAAACATTTTTGTATCCAGCCCAAAAACATCTGTTTAAATTTGTATATTTTCAGAAGAATAGCTATGCAAGACCGTTGCATTTACTTTTAAATACATCCAATCACATTACCAATTTTTTAAATAATATTCCTTGTGGTTTTTGTAAATCATTTATCCAAAAATAAGTTATTATTTTCGGTAAAAAATGGACAAACAAGTAAAGAAAATTCATTCTAAATGTTTGCATGAGCGCATATAGAAAAAATCAATATAGGTTTTTGAAGGGATATTATTCATAGAAGAAGAAAGGGAAAAATGTTTATTTTAACACTGTTTATTTGAAACAATAAAAAACATTTCTTATATTTTTAAAATCATAACATATAGGTAAATTTTTGGATGCTTTTTCATCTAACATAAAAAGGGTACTGAAGACAGCTTTTTCTCCAAATAATTAAATGAAATAGTACAAGAATTCAAAATATTTTACACACAGGGAGAAACCAGCAGAGAACACAACAACTTGAAGAAAGAGCAAAAACAAAAAAGAAGTAAATAATCAAAACCAGTTATGTCCATGGAGTCATAAATGTATGTAGTCCACATAAAAAAGAAGAGATTTTTTGTTATTTCTGAAAGAATCCAAAAATTAGCATCCAATGCTGGCTGCTTCCATTTTAAACTCTGTCTATATGCATGACATTGTCCTTGTTGAGTAAGAATGTTAATATTGATTTTTAGGAAGCATTGCTTTAAAATTTAAATATCATTGTAAGAAATGCAATGTAGAAAAAATTTCTCGAATTTACACACAAGAAAACAAATTTGTCTTGCTCGAATATTAGAAAAAAGTTGGCGTTTAATAATCGATATTTAAATACTAATAAATTTACAATAAAATTTTTTCTATGTTAACCATTATTATAAGTCTTAGAAATGTTCAAATTTATCTGAATGCTTACTAAAGCAAAACTACTGGAATATTCACTATCACATTTTGATATTTTAAAGGGGGTGTAGTGAATACTAAAATCTCTACTTTAATTACTTTTTACGCTACACTCCAGCCGCTTCCTTTTCACGTATATATTTTTCAATGGATGACTTCAGTTTCTGAAACACATTCATAATTAATAATAAAAAGTTAAATTAAAATTAATATTATGACATTAAATAAATAATTTACTAAATTAATTAAAATCAAACTAATACTAACTGATGGTGCAGTCATGGGTCCATGCCTTTCCACAGGAATTCCTTTGTGGTTAACAATAAACTTTGTAAAGTTCCATTTTATCGAGCTTAAAAATAAAGCATACAAACAGTTAGTTTGGATTATTTTAATTTAAAAAAAGATTAAATTGACTATGGAGCAATTATATTTTAATAAAAATATGAACATCATTATTCTATTTCTATGGCACAAATTGATGAAACGTTGAAGAAAAATTTTTTTTCCGTTTATATTCTACCACCTAAAATGCCTAAAAAAAGAAAGAGTAATTTTCAATTATACAAAGAAAAAGAAGGACAACAACAAGAAAGTAAGAAGAATAAAAATATGAACGATAGACACACGAATTAAAACAGGAACAGTTCCAGACAATATTTTTTATTATTAAAAAAATTGATTCATGACGAATAGGGAATGATAAATTATAAAATAATTTATTTATAATTTTGTCTTTTCCAATCACTTTTGGTCTGTCAGAGGGTTTTTGGCTGAACCGATATACCACCAAAGATGAGAAAAGTCGAAACCCATATCAAAAAAGAATGGAAACGACAAAACTATCAGTTCATTAAATAAGTCAAATAAATTTCAATCAAAATTATATTTTTTTAAGTACACTCTGCTCGTTTTTGTCTGCGCCTTGTTTGCTCTGTTGTAGTATAAAATGGGAATTTTTAGATTTTAGGTCAAATACAGACTTCAAGAAAAAATCTCACATTTTTATTTATGTAATTCAGACAAATCTACTTACTTACTTGGTAATAAACCCTCCTTTCTTCGATTTTAAGTATTCCCACAGTGGTGATACATTCTTTCCATTGACATCCATTTTTTCAAAGAAATCAAAGGTAGCATTCTTTGATTTTGCGAAACACATGATCTCCTCTGAAGATCCAGGCTCCTATGCATAAACAATACGCATTCATATATGGACATTTATTACATCGGAATAATAGACTAACTTGGTCGGAAAATTGATTGCAGGGGAATGCAAGGATTTTTAAACCCTTATCTCTGTAATTGTCATCCAGTTCGACTAGCTCTTTGTAATTAGTAGCTGTCAAACCACACAAGGAAGCAACATTCACAACTAGCAAGACATGGCCCCTAATGAAATTAAATGTTAGTTTTTTTTAAAGTATAAATAAAAGATTTTTAAATAAATAGCGATGATTAATGAGTAGTTCATTTGAGACCGCCTTGGTAGTACAGCTTCCATTCCATGGTATTAAAATGAAAAACATAAATATAAAGTATCAATTACTTTCTAATGATTAAATTCACTTTGAACGTTTAGAATTTCATGTCTAAAACAGATTAAAAATAACTTTTAAATTAAGTTTCAAGTCACCTACTTGTACTTTTCCATAGACACGAACTCCCCATTGATGTCACGTACTTCAAAATCGTACACCGTCTTTGTGTCACTCTGAAAAGAAAAAGAAAATATTACTAACAACATTTATGAGTAAATAATATTAAAAAAACCTTTGTGTAAATAATACATGAATGTAAATACATAAATGTAATTGTATTTAAATGCTAATCTAAAATGAGTATATTAAATATTCGATTTCTTAACCGATTCATTTTTCATTTTCGAGAAGTCATGAAACTAAAGAGAAAATAAGGAATATACCAGTGCCAAGATTTAAAATTAAATTACATTCATAATCTAAAATTACTTGACAATATATTGTTATTTTAAGATCACACTTTTTGAAGTAAACCTCCCTCTCACTCTCTCTCTCTCTCTTTTTGTTTATCTCCCACTCACTTCACTCTCACTCCCTCTCTCTCACTCAAGCAATTACTCTCAATAACTCTTTCACACACTATCTCTTTCTCTCTCTCTCCCTCTCCCTCCTTCCCACCCACTCTTTCTCTCACTCTCACTCTCTCTCTATCACTCACTATCTCCCCCCATTCAGTCTCACTTTCTCAATCACTCCCACACTTACTTTCTCTCTCTCACTTATTCTCTTTCTCCTTCTTTCTCTCCCTCACTCACTCTCACTCATTCTCTCACTTACTCTCTCTTCCTCTCACTCTCTTACTCACTTTCTCACTCACTTTTTCTCTCAGNACTCACTTCTTTCTCTCTCTCCCCCACTCACTCTCACTTTTTCTCTCTCTCTCACTCACTCACTCTCTCACTCACTCGCTCTCCCACTCACTCAATTACTTACACTCAACTGCTCACTCTCTCGCTTTTTCTATCTCACATTCTCTCTCTCTCTCTCTCTCTCTCTCTCTCTCTCTCTCTCTCTCTCTCTCTCTGCCTCTGCCTAAAATCTTCCACGAAATCCAGTAAGAAAGCTCGAAGAAATCCAAAATGCAAATCAGATATAATAAACAGTTTTTCAATCTATTGTCTGGGAGTCACCTTGCGTCCAACTTTGGAATGGGGTCTTAAACCAGGCTAAAGTAGTCATGCTCAAAATGCTCGTGGAGAGTGGCTTATGAGATGTTTTGTAGCCTTTTTTTATCCACAACAAACTTTTTATCACATCGTAAAGCATGTTGTAATGGAAATTTGATCATGTACATCGGTGAGTTTGGGCATCGAACCCCCCCCCCCCGTTGGCGATGTTTAATAAGACGTAATTGGGGGAATAATCTCAATTAATGTTGGCTCCGATTTCGTCCACCTCTTTTAAGGCGGATTTCTTCTCTTTGTTTGTAAGACAATTATTCAAAAAGTTTCTACTGCCAAGCCGAAAATAAAATCGCAATTAAATTAAATTCTTAATTATGGTCAATCCTAATTGAAGATGAAGCTGTTGTCAGTTCGGAGATGTTGCCTTCATTTCCTCGAAAGACGCCAAAGATTTGTATTGTAGGTCAAACCGCGACCGTTTGCAGTGATTGAAAGATTCTGAATGGTAAATTAAAAGTGCAGATTTAGTTGCCCTTTAGGCAAGAGACCAGTTGAAAGCAATTGTCAGTATCAAGACGATTTAAATAGAACCGAATGAACGAATTTATGAACAAAATGTCCTTAAAAATCATTTAAGACTCCTGCTTGCTATTCAGAAATACAGGATAGGCAAATATTCTAATAAAATTTTTACCATTTTTATCTGAAAGCGCCGGTCCTCTTGTTATCCTGAAACAAATAAAACAAATAAGTAAATATAATAATTTAAAAAAAGTTTTAAATACAATGGCTTGATAGTTTATTTGCATATTGTACACACAGGGTCAGCGGCGGCCGAGTGGTCTGAGCGTTAGACTCCACGGTCGTGGGTTCGATTCCCACCATCGTCCCTGCAACTTTTGACCCCTGACCCAAAAAGTTCAACGTACTGATGTTTGGCAAATGTGGTAGATATGACAACATTAAAAAATTACATATATCGCAATTGGCCCTGTCACTTCACATTCACGCTAATAAATAAATTTACTCTCGATATAGAAAATAGAAACAATGGAACACAAATCGAAATATCTATCAGTACTATATACAATAGAATATCCTCCAAAAACAGGAACAAGGGAACAGGGCGCCCAAATACTTGCTGCCTGATCAATACAATTCTCATATCGGGTTGCTTCCAACACGCTCTTTATAAGGAGCAAAGAAATGACACCCTTCAATTAAGTGGGACACATCGAGCAATATTTCTCTACATGGCGTTGACATTGTCCATTTCCTTTTAAGCATATTTTTTTGTGTCCGAGAGCAGGTTTCGGTTCACTCCGATCTTAGCCGTCTTCGTTACCTTGCGGACCGCACCAACCTAGTTTACGAGACGCAGCTTCAGCAAGGATCCGCGCCCTCCGAGACCTCGTCAGTACTCTCTCTAAGGTCCAAGGTTCGTAACCCCAGGGTATGGGGGCTGTACCGGAGACCGTGAGTTAGAGGAAATGTCAAATGAGATGGACTCAGATGCGGAGACCGTGAGTTAGTGACAGTCAAAGACAGATTTGTGACGGAGTCAGAAACAGAATCCGTAGGCCAGTCAGAATCAGTCTAGAGTTAGACTGAGTCGACAAAGTGACATCAGTCACCCGAATCTGGAGTCTGAATTCGGAGGTTGTCTTAAGGCCTTCAAGCCAAGCCGTTAACAGGGTGCTAGGAGATGGAAAAGCCAAATATTTGAGAAAAATACATTTTTCTAGCTTTGTTGTGCATGTATTTCAAGGTTATTCCATATGTATCAGACGACTTGTTATTTTACCTAAATAATATTGTGGATCGTATAAAATGACTTTAGTTATATAAAGAGCTTCAAAAAGGTAAACGCTCTGAGTAAAATTGGCCAAAAACCTTTTTATGAAAAAACAAAAAACAATTCGGATTTTTTTGAAGCACCCTTTAAAGCCCTCAAACACAAATTTTCATAGTAATAAAAATAAAATAAATAAATAAACATTTTTAGCCTTGATTTCAGAGCAATTTTTTTCCTCCAGTGTCTGGTCTTCCTCTTAAAAATTCATAGCTCATGCGAATTTTATCAAATTTCAACGTTGTTACAACCGCTGGAAAGAGGAATGTTTTTATTTTCAGCCTATATCAACATTGTTTAGATTTTATGCAATTACAAGTAAGGCCGCAATTTTATTTTTTGATTTTGATAAAAATTTGTATTCAGGGATTTGTCAGGGTCCTAAAAACGAATATCAAGATTGAATAACAAAAAATTGTAAACTTGCTGGGTCAAAAATTATGTATTTCAGTCACTAAATTTCCCTAGAATAGATGCAAAATACAATTTTGTCTTTTCAATTCCGGATTTTTTTATCGCCACGATGTATATTCGTATTTGTTAATTAATTCAGAACTAAAACGAGAAAAAAAATGGATTCCGATCTATGTATCTGATTTTCTGTATTCGTGTTGCCTTTACGGATTTACAAGAGAATGACCATGTTGGTGGGTGACGGATTTGGACCAAACGTTTTTTGGTGATTCTACACTCCAAATATCGGAACCGCCACTCCTTGCATATAGGCCCCCTCACCAAAAAATGTTTTAAAGTTGAAATTTCCCGTTTTTTCGATCTACTTGCTCAAATCAACTATGTGAATACATCATAAGGAATAGCACAAATTGGAATCTTAATTACAAGTGAGAGTAAGTTATTCCATAAATACCCCCAATTTTTACAATAACAACTATAAATAGACTTAAGGGAATTTTTAATAAATCGAATTAATCGGATTAATGAAGCTTTTTTTTAAATATAATTTTAGTCGCAATTAAATTAGACAAATCGTTATTTACAGTTAGTAAAAAATATTATTTTTGTTGTATTAATTTTAAAAAAATTCTATGAATATCTAATTTGGTATGATTTAAAAAAAGATAAATCAACAAAATACTGCTTTTTGTTTGCATATTTTAAGAAACATTCTGTAAACAAAGTAGGTCAGAAAATGGGCAAAACTTGGATTTGACCTCATCGTCGTGATTTTAGCGTCAAAACGCGACTTTCGCGGAAATCGGTGTAAATTAATTTTTTGGCTGATAATTTCGACGACTTATCTGTCTGACTGACATTTCTAGTGCAAGCTCTAACTTTATTTTTCTCAAAAGCTAGTGGACCGATTTTCACAGATAACTCATTTTAAATAAATTGTCAAGTGCATTTTATAACTGCATCAAACATTAAAATCGTACTATTATTTCCTTTTAAAAAAAAAACGAGGTTAATTTCTGACAAAAATACTTCCTTCTTTCATGTATTTTCTTATAGAAATCTCTTATATATTTTTATGGTACATACTTCGTTAGAAAACTACGTTCCTCTTCTTTCACATAGTATGGTTGACGTGAAAATCCTGTTAGCCGATTTTAAGCCGTTCAATTCGGCTAACGACTTCTCAAAAATTGGAAAAATTTTAGGGGGATCAAAAATCGGTCGATTTAAGTTCAAACAAAAATTTATATGTGTGTTATATGGCTTGTAGAGGTGCTAATAAGAAATTTCACATTAGTTTCAAGAAAATTTAATGACCTAGTTTACTTTAAAATATTTGGTTTTCAGAAATATTTTGGCTTCAGATAAACTGATAGCTTTTACTATAAACACTATAAACTACATAAAAAATGTGGTAAAATGATATATTCACATAGTTCAATTGAGCAAGTATAGAAAGGCGAAATATATATAAATATTAAAATACGGAAAATTTCAACTTTCAATTTTTTTTTTTTTTATAAAACCAATGTCTATATGAAAGAACTGGTGTACACGTACGTTGGAGTGTAGAATCAGCAAAAAATGTTTGGTCCAAATCCGTGGCCCATCGTCAGTACAATTGGGATTTTGGGCTTATGCCATTACAAGTGTGAAAATAAAGATGAATACAACCAAAACTCTTCAAACATTTTATTTTTTTCTCGGGTTTTGATTTATTTGGAATCGAAACCTATGTTAAGCCACTGCATGTATGTTGTAAGGTTTTAAAACCTTGTAAAGTTTAACAAATGTTTGAGAGCCACGGTGACATGAATTCACTTTTGCAATTCATGTCGAGAGACGTGGTTATAGAAATCCTTCAACCTGATGATGAGCTAAAAGCTCGAAATCCGGATCGGTGGAAAACAACTTACTGTGAGAAGGAACTATCTTTTTAAAAAAGGATTGAACACCGCACTCACTCCATCATTCATCATTTCTATTAATTTGGTAGTCCCTTTGTAAGTTGAATTTGGTTACTGAATGTTCAACTATTTTCTAATAAAGAATATTCTACAAATCGATATTGCACCAAAAAAATTGAATTAATTGGTAAATTACGCTGAATGTTTCTACTTTCGGCCTACGTCAATACAGTTTAGATTATACTGTATTTTATTAACGTATATTCTAAATTGAAGATGAGAAAAATAAAGATTAAATCAATAAACTCTTCCCGAACATATTTTTTTAAATATCTGGTTCTATTTTATTTATAAAAACCAAGCTTATAGTATTACGTGTAATTTATAGATTTTAATGTCCCAGTTGCCTGTGAATTGGTTGGGTCTTTTCAAAATGATAACAATATTTGTGATTTTTGAACAAAACTGTAAAGCGATGTAAGGGCGAAAAGATTAGAAAAAAAAATTTTCCTCGCTTTGTTGTACATGTATTTCATGGTTATATAAATAATGCAGTTATATATAAATATATATAATATCATATGTTGTAAAATACACGATCAAGCATAAAATTTTTGATCTAGCGAAATGCATATCGATAGAATAAAGTCACACCCGCGTATACTCTTCACCGAAACCATACTTATTTTCCGCCGAGGCGGAGAAATCCTAGCACTCTGGATCTGGTGGTTACAAATCTAAGGCTTAATATAACTGGCCCTGGAAGTCTTAATTTGCTTAGTTCTGACCAAAATCCACTGTTATTTACGCTCCACTTAAAATCCTCTTACAGTGATGCCTCACCGATATTTTCTACAAACAAAACGGACTGGAAAAAAATATAGAAACTAAATCAATTCATGCATAACTCTTCTACCGAAAATTCCGAACTGTGCCACGGCCGAAATGCTAATAGATTATTTCACAGGAGTATTACAAATACCATTTGAAGTCTACTACAAAGCATTCGCTACAGCAAAAAGGTAATATGTAGTAGTTGTAGGTATCTTCCACCAGGCCGACAATTTATGATAAAATTTAAAAAACAGAGTTAAAACCGGTACCAAAGAACTCGTCTTGACAGGAACCTACTCAATCTACTATAATGAGAAGTCAGCTCTATGCTTACTAACTGGCCTAACTCCAATTGGTTATCTTACCTTAAAAAGTTAACTCCTCACTCTGGAAAGTCACTAAAAGAATGAAAAACAGTGATGTCCAAAATACCGTTGCAAAGCTGTCAGTCGGGGGCATTTCTCCAACGTCAGGACAAAGCAAACCTGTTTGCTGACACATAAGAATCCGCCACAACAATTTGACTATGGAGTCCGTTTCCCATACAAGACAGTCCGTCCAACTGTCAGTTCAGCAGTACTGAAAAACGATTTCTTACCAGGCCAGTAGCTACAAATTGGTAACTACCCATGAAATAAAAACTACTGTAAAGAATAGGCAGAAAGTCATCCGGACTGGACAAAATAAGCAATATCATGCTCAAAACATGCCACGTAGAATCATTGTATTTTTGACTTATGTTTTCAACAAACTCCTGATCTATGGGTGCTTCCCTGAAAGGTGGAAAACCGCAAAGTCATAATTTACATAAAGCTAGAAAAAACCCTAATGATCCACTGAGATACCGCCCTATCAGCTTGCTTAGTGTCCTAAACGAAATCATTGAAAAGGTCATAGATCGACGGGTTAGAGATTTCTTGGACAAACAAGGGCTTCTTATGGTGGAGCAATTTGGCTTTAGGCCTTCCTCAAGCGCAACTCTCCAGGCTCGTTGACCACAATACATGAAACTTTAATCGAAAAAGCATACTGTTGCTTTGTTCCTAGCAAGAGCAAAATAAAGCATTTGACACATGCTTTCCTCAGTACGTTGTTAAGATAATAGATTCATACATCACCCGGAGAAGATTTGTAATAGCAGTTGAAAGCGTGGAATAAAGATAGGCACTGTGGCTGCTGGAGTCCCGCAAGGTTCGGTTTTGGGACCAACTTCGTTCCTGATTTTCGTTAACGACTCGCCAAGAACTCTAGGCGTTGAGTTGGCTCTATTTGCGGATGACACTGTACTCTACAAGTTATCGTGGAGGGTGAGCACCATAGCAAAACGACTGAGCAAGACTGTGGAGAGGACTTCGAGAAGTGGAAAATCAGAGCGAATAAGACCAAGTCTGAAGCCACTCTTTACGAAAAGACGCCTAACTGTGGCCAACGAAGTTAAGCTTTGCGGCGAAGAAATAATCAGGTCTCCCTCAATAAGGTACCTCGCCGTTCGGCTGGACTCGAAGCTATTAACGTTCACAACTCATATTAACAAGCTAATCCAAAACGTAAAAAAGTATATAAAACATTTATTTCCACTTCTCTGCCGAGGTTCCCAATTGGGCGTTCAAAACAAACTGCTCATTTATAAAATTATAGTTTACTAGTCACAATACTCTAGGATAGGTGTCAGAAACAATTTGGATTTTTTATTGTATGGGGTATTTGTTACTTCATTTCAGAACTAAAATAAGAAAAATAAATTAATTCCGATCTATATGATTTTCTGTATCCTACTTGGATTTATAGACTCACTTGAATTGGGTTGCTGCATGTTCAACTGTTTTCTAATAAGGAATATTCTATAAATCGATATTGTACCAAAAAGTTAAAAAATTAAGTTGATGGATAAATTAAGCCGAACGTATTTACTTCCGGCCTATGTCAACACAGTTTAGATTTTATTGTATTTTATTAACATATATATAAGTTGAGAAAATAATATAAAAAAATTATAAAT